TTGAATTATAAGCTTTTTTTCCCACTTTGAATTATAAACTTTTAGGGAAATAGATGAAATAGTTATATATATACATATATAATATATGTATATACATATTATATATGTATATACATATATTATATATGTATATATAATAAATTAGTTTTATAAACATTTGAAATGACTTTATATAAGCTATGTTAATATAGAAATATTACTTTTTTCCCACATTCATCTTTCACAGAATAATTTCACTCAAACTTTTATCAAACAGTGAGAAAAGCAGAATATACTTTTATATCCATGTAGGGTTATAATTAGCTAGGCTCTAGTCAAAGTTTCTAAAATGTTGGCTTATACCACTCTTGTTCAAAGTGAAGTGATTAAGAGAGTGTCCATTCTTATGAAAGCCCTTGTAAAGTCTCCAAAGAAATGTTTTTCTAAGGATTAATTTTGGAGTAAAATCTCTGTTATTTTTAAGTAAGTATGGTAAAAGAAACCAGTCATATTGTATGATTTTATTTATAAGAAATGTCCGGAGTGGCAAACCCTGGAAACAAAAAGTAGATTAGTAGTTGCCAAGGGCTGGGGAAAAGGGCAAGAATGCAGGGTGATTGCTAATGGTAGAGTTTCTTTTCAGGGTAATGAAAATGTTCTGAAACTGGGAAGAAGTTATAGTTGTGAAACTCTATGAACATACGAAATGCCCACTAGGATGTACACTTTAAAAGGGTGTATTTTATAGTTTATAAATTATATCTCAATAAGCTTTTTTTTAGAAGTATATATGGTATGCAATTTGGAAAAGAGAAACAGAACAGTCAACATGGTCAGGTTCCATGAGCAATTCTTAGGTGTCACTGGGAACATCTCCTCATTCTAAGGGGCATGGTTGTTGGCCCCAAGCAGGAAATAAAGCAGAAGATCTAGTTTCCTGGGAGTTTTTTCCCACAGTCTTTTTCTTCATACTGCTAAATCCAGCTCCTTTCCAGGTGTGACATTAGAAGCTGATTTTATATGTATACACACACACACACACACACACACATATATATATATACACATATATATTTATTTTATTGAAGTATAGTCAGTTTACAATGTTGTGTCAATTTCTGGTGTACAGCATAATGCTTCAGTCATACATGAACATACATATATTCGTTTTCATATTCTTTTTCACCATAAGTTACTACGAGGTATTGAACATAGTTCCCTGCACCATACAGTATGAACTTGTTGTTTATCTATTACATATATATTGGTTAGTAGCTGTAAATCTTAGAAGCTGATGTTATCTTTTATTTGTAGAGTTCTTGAATTTTTTTTCAAAGTCTTCTCTATTATTTTGTTTGTCCTCATTTATGGAGGAAAAATTTAAATATCTGCATTTCCATGGGGAAACTGGGGCCATGCAAGTTAAACAGTAATAGAGTTAAGTAATAGTACAATTATTCTAGAAATTAGTATAAGTGGAATCCCAAAGAAATGAAGGGACTTACCTGACTTTCATGATTAACTTACTTGGGGCCTGAGCTGGGACCTGCACCAGGACTTCAGGTTCCCTCTTCAGCCTTGCTTCGTGTTTTGAAGAGGATAGCTTCTCTCTGAGACAAGATGACCCGTTATTGAGAGATTCTTCTGTCTTTGTAAGAAGATACCTTAGTACCTGCTCATTCTTCCAAATGACACAGTCTGTCTTTTCCAGTGTTTTTTAGGAATGAGTAATGATTTGCATGCTCATTAGAGCCTTAACATTACTCTAACATAGAAGCATAGGAACTGAGAAAGTTCATTTATTCTTATATATTATCTGCTTTTAGAAAAGACTATGTGGGATCAGATATTTTGTTCTCCTCCTTTTCTGAAGACTCTCAAGAACTTTCCTGTCAGTTTTTTTTTCTCCATTGTTGTCAAGGATCTTTTCTATTTATGCTGGGCATAAATCTTGCCTCGTGACTACTAGCTCACCTATTAGTCCGACTAACTGGACTCTAAATGGTTGTAGAAACATAGTGGACAGGCTTAGCACAGTGCTTTGTAGGGGTGGGTACCACCACTGCATTTTCTGAAGACTCAGTAATGCTAAGTATACACATTGATGAAAATTTTTGTTTTGTCCTTTAAATTAAAAAGCAAAACAAACACACAAATGATCTTTGAGCTCAGTTGTATCAAAATTCACCCACATTCGTGATTTGTAATATGTTTGGTGGCACCCTATGCAATTCAGTTAATTAGGAACATCTCCAGTACTATAGCTGGGCTACTGTGACTATTTAAACTTTATTTTTGACATTAGAGAGTAAAACAGTGACATCTGACAGTACAGATGAGTCTTCATGCTCCTCTCCCCATCTCTCCTCCTATAGCTGTACACCTCAGTCAGATAGGTGTATGTTTTTTGTATGTGTTAAATAGGCTCTTAGAGATTTTGCAAAATTTTTAAATGCCTTTCTCAGACTAGAAGGATAATGGGGCTAGAAGTTACACATACAAGTTCTAAACAAATTTCCTAAACTATCTCTTTCTTCTCCAACCTTCAATAATTTCAAAATACATCTTTATCCTTTTTTTTTAGATTTTACCATAATAACTTGTTATAAAACCATTAAAATGTGTGGGAAATTAATATATTTTTCAGTAAGTAAATGTAAATATTCTAATAGTGTCTAAGAGCACTCTTACAAGTGCTGATAGTTATATAAATTACTGTATTTTTTAAGTAGCCAAAAAAGAACATTACATTTCTTATTATGAAAATATGCCAGTTTTCTAAGCATTAAAAATCAGTGTGTGTAGCTAAGTCTTATATAACAGAAACACGAATATATTCACTTTGTAGCTATTTAAGTACTTGTATTACTGCCTTTAAAATTTTGACATATTTTTATCTCTTTACTTACAGAGTTTTCTATTAATTTCAAAGACAGTGGTGTCACATTTTGTTTGCACATGAGAAACTTAGTGATTGATACTAATTTCCAGAGATTCAGATCTTATTACATTGTCCCTTCCTTCCTTTCTGTATTACAGATTTTGCACACAGCAAAGATAACATTTTTATTTAAGTCTGGAAAGGAACTTCACCATAAGTATTTCTTTTCTAAAAATAAAAATTCCAGTATGCCGTCTGATTGAATTAACTAGTGGGTCATTATTCATTACAGCATTTCCTTAAAGATATGTTTCTATGGCATATTTTTTATCTTTTAATAGTAGCTTATTAGCTTCTTGAAAGAGGTGTGAGAAAAAGTGGCTGGAGCCATTGCCATTTGAAGAGCAATCAGAACTCAAAACATAGCATATTTAAGATGATAGTGTAAGCCAGATTGGAAAAAATATTTTTTTTCTTTTGTAGGAAAAAAGTTACTCATTCCATATCTAAAGATATAATCATTGATAAGTGTTTAGTATAGAGATTTCCTTTTAATATTTTATTTGGATATATAACTGTTTTTACAAAAATAGTATAGTTACTATGTTACTTACGGCTAACCTTATATAACGAATATTTCCCCATTAATAAATACTCTCTCCAACATGAGTATAAATGGCTGTGATGCAGTTATACTGTAATTTACCTAAAATCAGCCCACTGTACTTGAAGGTAAAGATATTGTCCATCTATTTTTTTATGATTAATTACATCTTTGTAAATATATCTTTGGGTACAACCTCTTGGTGTATATCAGGAGAATAAATTCCTAGAAGTGCAAATTGATGGATCAGAAAATGTGGCATATTCAAGTCTTTAAAGCTTCTAGTTCCTTGATGATATACGTAGGGAAATAACATCTTTTTTAAAGGGTAAACTGGACTACATACTGTTTAACATATGTGATGCGTTTGTGAAGAAAATCTGTAACAAATTAGTACCTGCTCATTCTTCCAAGTGACACAGTCTGTCTTTTCCAGTGTTTATTAGGATGTAGACCAAGATCTTTTCTCATTTGTCATTTTAATTTACTGTGTCCAGAGTATGTTCTGTGATTTTGGGCTTTTAGTTGCTTTTTTCCATATTAAGTAGTGCTTGCCTCAAATCCTTTCTTTTAAAAGATGAGTGTGTTTGAATAAATAAAGAAGTGGGTAAAAAGAAATAATTAGTGTACTAAATTCTTCTTAACAGAACTTTACAGAGCAGTATGGCAAAGCTTCTCTCAGATCTTAGTATGGACAGTGCTCGCTGCAAGTCTGGGAATAATCTTACCAAATCAGTTCTGAACATTTATGAAAAACAACCTCAGCATGACCCAATCCCTGCTCACACTTCCATAATGAGCTACTTAAATAAGTTAGAACCAGATCGGTCTATCATTACACATTCAGAACCACTTTCTGCAATTAACAATGAGAAAAACATAGTGCGAGGTAGACCCTATGAAAATGTTATGCCCTCCAAAGGCCCTCAACATAGTAATACTAGGAGCATGGAGGAAGTATCAGCCCCAGGAATCATTTCTGCCCTTTCAAAACAGGATTCTGATGAGGAGAGTGAAGTTACAACTTTAATAGAAGAGTATAATTTGGATAAGACAATTTACATTCCACTTGCTAGAAGCACTTCAGTAAAGAAATCACTACTGTCCAAGAGATTATCCCCCCAGCCACAACTCAGTGTAGCTCCACCGCAGTGTGTCGGCAACAGTGGACTTGTCGCTGAAAAAGAAAATAAATTGTGTGCACTCGGAGTTTGCTCCTCTTCCAAAAAGGAAGCAAATGTGCCTGAGAAACTTTCCAGAACAGCTGATATGGAGGACAAACAGCTCCTCAAGAAAATAAAGGAAGCCATTTGCAAGATCCCTGCTGCCACCAAGGAGCTAGAGGAATTGGCTGCATGTCACGGCCCCTCCACTTGTCAGAGCAGCAGCATTCAGGTGAAAAGCAGTGCACTCTCCGATGGTAGCTTTTTAAATTCTGACTTGACCTCTGATTGGAGCATCTCTTCTTTTTCAACGTTCACTTCTCGTGATGAACAAGACTTCCGAAATGGCCTTGCAGCACTGGATGCCAACATTGCTCGCCTCCAGGAGTCCTTAAGGACCGGTCTTCTGGAGAAATAAACTCAGAAGAAGAGAAAAATCCTTTTTAAGAGTAGAACTTGGCTACATTGAATGTATATTTTAAATTTCTTTAGAGAAAAGTTTTATATTAATTATGTGTGAAAGAATAAATTGTATGAATAATAAATTTATTATTGGAATATATTGACACTGCTTATAGAAACAAGTCATCCTAAGAAGTTGACATTTGCTAAAAGAAGAAAGTTGTGTATAACTAGGAAAGTACTGTAAGTATTGTAAATATTTTATTTAGTATTTAGCAATTAGAGCTTTTTCTTACTTTGCTGGGCTCAGGGTGCAGGTTAGAAGGATTCTCTGGTCATCCTAAAGGATAATGGAAAGGGAGTCTTTGGGTATAATTTACTGTGTTAAAAACTAGAGTTTCTTTTCTCTTTCAGAATTCCTGTTTGATTTTAATGACACTGTGTTTTTATATGGGATACTCTGTGCTACAGGCTGGTGGTGTTGGTGAGGCATATCAACATTTATTTTAAGAGAAAATGTGCCAATATCTCCACTTCTTAAAAATGTTGATTGGTCTAAAAATATATAGATAATATCCTAAGTTAATATATGGTTTCTTAAAATTTTGACACTTTTATTTATTTTTATCCTGAATGCATGTTTAAGACCATTAAAAACTAAAGTCAGACTGATAAAGAAGTATTAACAGATAAGTTTTACTTTTGGAAATTTGGTTTTTAAATAAATAAGTGTTTATTTGTTTTTTGTCATTATGTTTGAACATGGTAGATTTTATAAATCTTGAACTAGTTGTAATTCTGCCTTTCTGGATGAATTTTTTTTTAGCACTTTAGCTGAGAACACTGTCTATTCTATAAGTAATATGAACTAGGTTGGTCTCTGCTTCTTTATACTAGCACTTCCTAGTATACCTAGCACATCTCTTCTTTTTCATGGTTCACTTCTCGTGATGAACAAGACTTTTGAAATGGTCTTGCAGCACTAGATGCCAACATTGCTAGACTCCAGAAGATGATAACTACTTGGTGTCATCTCCTTGCATCTAAGCAGCACACTTTAACTCTTAGAAAGTTGGTGAATGTTGTGCTATCAGTGATACTTCATACACGTCACCTGCCTGGGTCATTGTCTTTAGTGCTTGAGCAGATTTCAGCGTTAAAGTGTACTCTGCTGATACCAGAGCCTCTTCCTGCTGGTTTTTAAATGTTGGGACTACAACTTCTGAAGGACCCAGGTACAGTCTCTTTGACATGTTCAGAGTTTATAGAAAGAGATTTCTCAAGTCTGAAAATAGTAAATGAATTCTAACCTATTTTCACAGAATTGTCTGTTAATGTTTTTAATTTTTCTTACTTCTGATATTCATAAATTAATTCATAAATTAATTATGTAGAGGTAACAGGTCACAACTCTTGAACACATAAGGTCAGAGGTACAGTTCATAAATATGAAATAACAAAGCAAGGAAGAAAATTATGTCATCTGTCTACTCCCAAATACTCAGTTGTTATTCATAGGCAGAAGTAAGTTCTTAAGATTATTAGATGATAATACAAGAAAATTGTCCACTTTTGACCTTAATATAGGATGGGCATCATTAGGTGCAAAGAACAATTTTAAATGTTTGTAGGTTCAGTTAATTAGGGGTTAATAGTTTGATTAAAGAATAAATTAGACTGGGAAATCCTTGAGGGACCTTTATCAAGAGCTTACTGTTTATTTGATATAAGACACACACATGGCATAGAAACATGAAAGAATTTGGTTCCGTTTTAAGATGAAATAAGACCATAGCAAAGTGGGTGGGATAGACACTGAGTTTCATAGAAGTTTAGAGTAGAAAGAAGCCCAAAAATGGTAGAAAAAGAACTGGAATAGAAGAAACTTCATTTGGATCTTAAAGAATGAATAGGATTTGGATAATCCTCAAAATCCTCAAAATGTTAACCCCATAGAAAGTCAGTATCATCAAAATGTTGCGGTTGAGTGGTGTATTAAGACGACGGTAAATACACCAACCTGACAAAAATAGAGGGATTGAGATGACCATGTGGTAATGGCAATACAGATGATGCTAACACAGTTTAGAAGAGCTGGGGTCAGATTGTAGAATGCCTTGAGCTCCAGGCTGAGGAATAACCATTACACACTATGAAGTCATTCAGTGTAAGGATTCCTTTGGTGGTGTTTTTTTTTTTACATTGAGGATCACAGATGGAATTGAATGTTCTTAAAATTGCATAGAGTAATGGTAAATAAATATTGAGGACGGAGAGGCTAGAGACCGCTTAGAAAACTGTTGCAGTAGTCCAGACATAAATTGATAAGCCGTTAGCAATAAAAGTGAAAAAAGAGAGACAAATTGAAAAAATTTTTAATAGGTTTGGTGACTTAATAGAAAATGAAAGAGAATGAGAAATCAAAGATGACACTAAGGTTTTTAATTTGATCAGTTCAAGTCACCCTGAGCAATGTCTAAAATGAAAAACTCGGGGGAGGGTATAGCTCAAGTGGCAGAGCACATGCTTAGCATACACAAGGTCCTGGGTTCAATCCCCAGCACCTCTTCTAAAACTAAATGATTAAACCTAATTACCTGCCCCCCCCCAAATCAAGTTCTTGGTTAAGCTCAAACTTAACAAATTCTAATTTTAAGTCTTAATAACTGATAATGGAGAGTGGGTTAAAAAGGAGAGAAAGAGTGCCCATTCACAGTAGTTCAGTTGAGATCTTCACACTAGGAGTCTTTGTAACTGCCTCATCATAGTCTCGGAAGAGTCAGTCTGGTCCCTAGTCTCAGCCTTCTCACAAGCCTTTTCTGATGTCCTAGAATGTGAAAAGCATGTGAAGTGTCCCCTAACCTCTGGCAGGATGAAGCCAGTATCTACTGATATATACTGGGTGCAGAAAGGGAAGAAACTATCCTCCAGCATTTTGACACTATTCTACTGTCCTTTCTTGGATCTCTGGAGGTAATATACAAATTGTTCATAATGGATTTAGTATTTGTGAATACGATTGAAGATGAAAGTTAGAATCTGAATCTATTTTACCAAGTGTAGAGATCCCAGGAGCAGGGCTAAAGAAGCCAAAGAAATACTTGGCGCACATTCTTCTCTTATCCTTGCCACCCTTGGAGTGTAGTGAATCATCCAGAAATCTTCACTTTGCACTAATAGTGGCATTTATGTCAAGTGCTTTAAGTTACAAAAGCCTGCTTCAACTACCTGGAAGTAGGGCAGAATTGCAAAGCCTAGTGAGATAGAAAGGGCATGCAGCCACATCACAACTTAAGTATGTATCTAGTGCTCACATTGTGGGCCAGTCTCTTCAGCTAAAGATTCATTCATTCATTCATTCAATGAATAAGTGAATTGAAAGCTCTAATATGTATCAAGTGCTGTTCTGGGCTCTAAGAATACAACAGTGAGCAAGACAGGTATTCTCTACCCCTAAGGAACTCACAGTGTGAACAAGCAAAGGATAAATGCTATGAAGAAGAAAATGGGGTAAGAGGACAAAGAATGACAGAATTGGCTAAAATTTTAATTATTAGGGTGAGAGGACCCTTCTCAAAAATTGTTTTTAGGAGTCCAGGATTTAAGCATACCACTAGTTAAAGTTGGATTTGATTTGCGAGCTAACATTCCCTTAATCATTGATCATAATCAGTGTTAATTTTTTATTTCATCCTGTTCAGAATCGCTTAAACAAATGGGTTCTGTGACTATATCACACATTGTATTTGGATGTTTTAGTACACATGTGTAGAGAACTGGGCACTATCTTATTTAAGGCTGTTGTCCTGAGTAGGGCCTCCCAGAGAATTATTATCAGAGATTGTAAGGTCTTGGGGACTTCTGAAGGACTTAAAGTTGGTTTTTGAAAGGACTTTAGGGGTCTTCTGTCTTATTCTTATACCCAGAGAGGGCATCTGTTTTACAGTCATACGTACCACCAGTAAGATCCCAGGTACACCGTTTGCCTGGACCATGCTATAGTTCAGGCTCCTGACAAATTCTTACTCACCCTTCAAACCCGAGGTACTACTTCTGTACCCTGTATATACCTCTGCTGATGTGGGTATCAGTTTATATATCAGCCTCTCCTACCCTGTACGCTTAAGGGCAGCTGGCCAGGATTTATTCATCTTTGACACCCCTGTGACGCTTGGTGCCTATCAGATAATAGGCAGTTAATAACTGTTGTTGGCCTTAACTAAATCCTTGACAAATGGTCATCTAGTCTTCACTTCTAGGTAATTTCATGCAACACCTGGTTTATAGCTTTATTACACACATCTAAGCTCCTAGCATTCGCCTCCCTGTAACTTGTATTCTTTATACCTGTTATTTTCTGAAGCAAAATTCACTTGTTTAGCAAACAGTTTTACACTATGGCTTGTGCTGTGGAGAAGCAACAGATTCTTAAATCTTTAGGACTGGAGATAGGGCAGAAACTTTTTTTTTAAATTCCCTGTAAGGTTAATCTAGTCCACCAGCCTACCTCACTGATTTGTAGGAGGGATAAATGTAGGCAAAGCACTTTGACAGCTGGAGGACAGTGTACAACCTGTGACTTATGACAGCATTTAAAGAGCACTCACCCTGTGGAGAAAAGGGAACCCTCTTACACTGTTGGGAATGTAAATTGGTGCAGCAATGGTGGAAAACAGTATAGAGGTTCCTTTAAAAACTAAAAATAGAGCTACTATATGATCCAGTAATCCCACTGCTGGGCATATATCTGGAAAAGATGAAAACTAATCCAAAAAGACTGCACCCCGGTGTTTATAGCAGCACTATTTATAATAGCCAAGACATGGAAACAACCCAATTGCTCATCAACAGACTACTGGTTTAAGAAGATGTGCTAGACACACACACACACACACACACACACACACACACACACACACACACACACACACACACACACACACACACGAATATTACATAGCCATAAGAAAGAATGAAATAATGCCATTTGCAGTAACATTGATGGACCTAGAGAATATCACACTAAGTGAAGTCAGTCAGTCAGAGACACATATATATCCCTTACATGTGGAATCTAAAAAATAAAGCAAGTGAATCTATACACAAAACAGAAACAGACTCAGACATAGAAAACAAACTTATGATTACCAAAGGGGAAAAGGAGGAGATGGGAAGGGACAATTGGAGTCTGGGGATTAACAGATACAAACTACAATACGTAAAATAGATAAGCAACAAGGATTTACTGTATAGCACAGGGAACTATATTCAATAACCTGTAATGGAAAATAATCTGAAAAAAATATATATATATATATATATATATATATATATATATATCTGAATCACTTGGCTGTACTCCTGAAACTAACATAATATTGTAAATCCACTAAACTTCAATTAAGAAAATAATAATTAATAGCCCTCGCCATCCTGCTTGCCCACTTCTGAAGTCCTCCAGTTTGTCAAGGTCTTAAAATTTAAATCCAGCAATGAGCAATGAACTCCAGATGTGATATGATCAGGCAGAATACAGTTAGCTTATCATTTCCTATAATCTAGTTAAAATTGTTTTAAAATGGGCAAAGATTGAGTTGGTTATCTTAAGCCATCACAGTATACTACACATCATATTAGGGCTATAGTTAGTTTCCAGATAATATTCTTATTGTCATTCTTGGTACTTTGTGTGCCATCATGTTAGGGCAGCTCAGGGGTCCCAGGCCCTGTCCAGCTAGAAATGAGCAGTAACTCAAAGACTGAGGTTATTGTCAAACAATTGGCCATAGCTGTCCCTAAAGGAAGAGTTCATATTTATCACTCAAAGTGCTTGTTCTCCTTGAAGCCAGGTTTGTTCTTAGAGGCCATAAGGAATGGTGAAAAGAGCTAGATTGGGGGTCAGGATCCCTGGGTTCAGGTTCTACTGCTGTCTGTATGAACCCTTTTTTTCCAGTTATAAAATGTGAGGATTTGACTAAACGTTCTCTTTGGTCACCTCATGATTTAACAATCTATTTGGTAATGTATTCCTAGCATTTTGACCAAACGTGTCTTTCAGTTAGTTAACCATCAGGTTTTGCTCAGAGTATTTTGGACTATATATGAAGTAGGTCATTCTTCCAATCAGTCGGAAGGCCCTGCCAACTCCAAAGAAGACTTATATAAAGAAGGGAGGTTATTATTTGTCACATATGATTCAAAAAGCTCTGATATTCCTGGTATCTCTTAATAATTCCATATATCTCAGGACTAATATTTGAACATCATCATTTCTATTACCATTCCCTACTTAGAAGTTTAAAATACTCCTGGTATAAAACACTGTGGATAGTTTTGGTTTTATGTTTTACAGACGCCAACTTTTACAGGTAAAAGGGGACTTACGATCATCTAGTCCAATCTCAGTTTTAGAAACAGGGAAACCGAAGCCAAAAATATTAAAGTTATTTGCTCAAGTTCCCACAGCTAACACCTTGACCCAGATACTGTGATTCTCCGTCTGTTTTCTTCACTATGGTGTCTCCTGGATATCAGCTGAATCTCATGATCACTTAAACTGCTGGGGCCTCAAATCTGTCACCAAAATCTAGCTGTATGCCTTTTTCTCTCTACTAGCACAGTCTAATAATAAGAAATTCCTTCTGTAATTTATTGTGAGGATTAAATAAGTGAAAAATGCTTTGTGAACTATCAACACTATATAGTTGATAATGGTCACTAATTGTATATAGTTGGTCTACATGTATATGTGTGTGTGTGTGTGTGTGTGTGTGTTGTACTGGAAATTTAAGGTTTTATTTTTGCTTTATGAAAGGCACACAGTGTTCTTAAATTCTGTTTGGCATGTGGCATAATGCTAATAAAACAATTTTCCTCACCTATCACTTGGCCAATTCCATTAAAAGTCATTCAAACTTGTTTTTAAAGTAGATGGAAAAAGTTACATGAGTTGTTCTCCCATCAACACTGGCACTCACAGTGAGTTCTGACATTTCCAGGACCCCAACACTATCTTCTCTTCAGCCAGAGAGTAAGAGGGCTCCTTTTCCATGGAGATAAAGAGACATGCAGAGGTATGACAGACTATCCAGAGGGAAAATTTTGTCCACTTTGGAGCTGGAGATTTACACATTTGTTCAAATCTAAAACAAGGAATGTTGTCCACAGCTCAATAGAGAGCACACATCCAAGGTACATATTTTTACCCCACCATCCTTTGCAGATTATTCTGCACTTGGCTGTGAGCTCTAGGCCCAGAATAGGGTAGGAGACCAGAATCAAGTATTTTTAAAAGTCAGCAGCTCCAAAACAAGCAGAACAGACCCTTTTGGAGGTTAGTAGTTTGTGGTTTGGTGAGAAGAAAGGAGTAAAGGGAAAATTTTTAAATCCAGAGCCTCAATGGTAGGAAAGAAAATTAATCTTTTTTTCTCTCTCTTTTTTTTTTTAGGTCAATACTATGAGACTTGCTGTCTTAAGATAGGGAGATAGATTAGTGGAAGATGGGACACAAGCTAGAACAAGTTAATAAATATTTGAGTAAGTAGGTCTTCACCATTTAGAGCAGTGACCTATATACCACCACTTCACCCTTCCCCCACACAAAGCTAATGATCATTTTTTTCATGAGAGACTGAAATCACTTGTCATCACCTTTTCCCTCCCCCCATCTCAACTGGTCTAAAAATCCATCTGGTCAGATTTCTGTAATAATAGATGACACATAAAGCAACTTCTCTTGTCCCCTAACTTAACCCAGAAAGAGTATGAGAATTTAAACTGTAGTTTTGTATCTTTGGCCAAAGTGTGAGAAAAGGTCATGATAGATCATTGATGAATATAAGACACTAACTTGAACAGGCACTGATAGTTAAGTCTATGGGAAAGTTCATTTTATTAACGGTGCATTAGAAGAGAATGAGCCCTGGATTGGAAGTCAGGTGACCAAGTGACTATCTTCATAGTCTATGTGACCTTCAACTGTTTATAATTTATTAGTTCTCTACTGTGTGCCACATTGAGCATTTAAAGACCAAAGTGTGCCTCTGAGGGACCTAGAGCCCCAGGACCTGCCAGATGAGGAAATATGATCTTAATGACTCTCTGCAGCTCAAAATGCTACAGCTTCCAAGGAGAAGGTTCCCAACACCAAAGGAAGCAGGCACACAGTACTCATGGACACTAACTGTGGGGTCATAAAGAATTTTAGCTTTGAATTGCTGTGCTTTGTCTTTTCCTTTAACACTCCTATCTCAGGTGCCCTCCGTATTTATTTCTCTTCTAGATAATATCACTTTCAAAGAGATTGTGTGGTGCTTCTCTGAGGACTTGAATATTTTTATTCCACCCTCACATTTAAACTATAGTTTCCATTGGATTTCAGTGTGAAGATGGTAGTGTAAAGTTGTCCCTTCCCCTTTCTTTTGTAGAAATCAAAACCAACAAGAGGAGTACAAGCTCCATTTGTGGGGAAAACTAGGAGACAGCTCTAAAACCAAGCCACAAATGAGCTAGAAGAACTGCCAAAAGCAGTAGTTATCAAGCTGGGTCTATATGAAAGGAAACAGACAGGGAATGCTGCAGCTCCAGATAGCAGAACGAGCTAGCAGAGTACACTGCTCAATGAAGAGCAGCTCACCCAGAGGGAAAAGTTGTAAAGCCTTAATTTACGACAATGGGAAGAGGATCCGTAGGCTTTACATTGGGGGAAAATATAGATGCCTATTGCTATGTGGAGAAAGAACACTGAACAAGTCACTGTGCAAAACTCTGAAGATTAAGGAAAATTCCAGCCCTTCTTACATACAAGCATTCTGCAAATAGCTGATGCAGGAAAACCTTCCTTATCTGCTTCAAAAAACAAAAACGAAAACACAAAAACAAGTCATCAAGAAGGACCAGCAGAGGATCTATACAGAACATTTTGAGAATAGAAGTAGAAAGAAACAGAAAAATAAAACTGTAAATTAAAAGCACTTATCAGAAAAAAATGTTACCATAGAGTAGATAAAAGTTCTGACTAAATATTTGGTCATGAATTTTTAAAACTGATTTAAACAACTATTAATTCACATCAAGAGCACCAAACAGAGAAGCAAAAAGTTAGGGACAAGGTGATGGGACAGTGGGAGGAATGGAAGTATGGGGTTGGCAGAATTTAGGAAAGAAATGGAAGGAAAAAATGAAGCCACCTCAGAAATGAAGGCAAAATTGAAAGTAAGCCAAGGAAAAATCAGATTTAAAACATACTGATTTTGATGTAAAATCCTAAGTTTGACTTCTTTACCTTTAGCCCTTTGCACAGATGTTCCACTGTTGCCTTCTGGCTCCCAGTGTGGCTATGAAGAAGCCTGTCCTGGAGCAGATCCTTGTGTGGCTAAGAAGGTGATACAGTTTTCTCTCTGGAAGCCTTTAGAATTTTCTCTGGCTTTGATTTTAAATGTCACTCTAATGAATATTAGTGTTTCTTGATTTAATGTCTCCTGTTAGTGCTCTGTGAGCTCTTTAAATCAGTGATCTTATATCTCTTTCTAATTCTGGAAAATTCTCAGTCATTGTTTCGTCAAATATTTCCTTGTAATTTGTTTTTCTCTCTACTTTGATTCCTATTAAGCGTCTCCTTCAAACCTATGTGTCTCTTAACTTTTTTCTTATTTTGACCATCTGTATCTATTCTTAACTCTTCTGGGGAAGGTTTCCTGACCTGATCTTTCATCTCACAATTTGTTCTTCAGCTATACCCATTCTGCTGATAATTTATTAGGTTCTTAACTTCAGTTGTTACAATATTCACATAGTTTGTTCTTCTTTATAGTTGCTTGTTTCTGCTTCATTTTTCCACTACTCCCTCTTATATTGTTAAAATATTCATTATGTGTGTT